AATAAGTAGACAGAAACTATTATTAGTACATGCACAATAATTGTAAGTATGTATTGGTTAATATGTATGGTAATGTACAACCAAATATAATTGTCAATTGATTCAAAAAAGATGGATTCTATTTTAATGAAAATCAATGTGATGGTGATATATGTTTAGAAAACAATGACGATGACGATGGTGGATATGATTAGCAAATTGTAGCAGATAACTTTAATATCGATCAACAGATTACATTTTAATCGTATGATTCAATCGATGATAATGTTGTAGTCAGTGGACTGTTAACTGATAACGAAATCATGGATATAAATCTATCAAGTAGTGATTCCTGATGAGTCTGAAAGAACTTTAAATACGATTATGGTGAACTAAGAAATGTCATCATTATAAACGGTTAGGCAATTTGTTGTAATTATAAACGGTTAGGCAATTTGTTGAATTTGTCGAAAGCGTGGATACTTCTATACATATATTCAAAGCCATAGGCAAATTAGAAGATTTTTTGATAAAATTTATGTACATATATTATTAATACATGAACATAAATATAATAAATACATAAGATTAATCTTAACGTTTTTTATCGTAACATTTTAAAATGATATTTCATTACATAACTCGAAGTTTTGATTTAATTTTGATAAATTCGAGTTAGGTATCTCGAATAATACATACCTCAAAATTAATTTTTATCCCCTTTCAACTTCGGGTTATCGCTGCTCGACTGTAGTACAAAATATTTCTTATACAATTTGCTATATAAAATGAATATAATCACTAAATCATTCTTGCTCGCTTCTCTCATCTTATTTTCTTAACAAGTAGCGTAACCGGGATTTATTTGGAAGGTGTTTGGCGGAGACTTATGGTGTTTACATATTGAATTATTACTTGTGTACTCGCATACATGTAAGAAATACAGAAAAATACTATATCTACTCGTAATATTGGTAAAAATCCTCAAATTAATTTTTTTGACATTGGCATTGCATGACCTATAATGAGTAGGTATATTATTAAGTATGTACGGTAGCAGTATAGAATTTAACTCACGGTTTAAACTAATCAACGTCATCGCCAGGGGCGTATTTAGACTTACTTCTAGGGGGGGGGACTCAAATTTTTTCTTTAATTCAAGCTCAAAATTTACAAGTAAAATTTTTGGTAATATTATATCAGGTGAATCCTCAATATTTGTGGGTCTTTTTTTTTTTTAATCTAATGCCGGATCCACTTAGAATGATTTTTTGTGTAGTTCTTTTTTAACACCTATCTGTGTTTTGAAAGTTTCGATTGTGTTTTAACTAATTTTTCACTAAGTATGGACTGAGTCTTTAATAAAAATAATATATATTATTTATCGTTATGGGACATATAAACGTTATAAGCAATTGAGCGTTTAACGCTATAAATAATTTAACGTTATTAAATTTAAGCGTTTAAACGTTAAACAAATTTAAACGTTTAAAAAAATTTCCATTTACCGTTATTGACAGTTAAAACGTTATGAAAAATTTAGCGTTTTGCGTTATTTAAATTAGTGTAAAATTTGAAACGTTTTCAAATGTAGTAATACTATAAAATAAAACATAATTTTTGTTTCTTAATAAAATACCCATTACTTATATAAAAATTGTTTTGGTCTAAAAAATTCTCGGGGAGGGGTGGCGATTGCCCCCATCGCCCCCTTCAAATACGCCACTGGTCATCGCACGATAATTACTGGTTTAAATAGAGTGATTGCGATGACGTACTTTGATTATCATTATTACATAAAAACTAGAAAAATAAAATTGAATATTTATGAAATAAATATATGAATTTATTGAATGTACATGCGTATGTGCATGCACTTTATAAATTATAATATAATATTATTATATAACATTTACTTTTAACATAAAAAAGCGATTTAAATGAGATACATATTAATATTAGACATAATGATAACCATAAAATTATGGTAGAAATGGAAGTATGCCATGTAAAAATAAAAAAATTTAGGATTGATAACATTTAAGTTCCATAGTATATAGGTTTTTATTTTTTTATTTTTCAGTTTGTAAGTATTTCTTTTTTAATATTTTAAAAACATGGAATGAAGCAAAGATTAATAATTGCATCAAAGGACTTGGAAAACTAAAGAAGTCTTATCAGAGAGGAAATAATAAATATAATATAATGATATAGTGCTACAGAGACGGTAAAGTCATAAAAGAGTACTGAGCTCATATGATACGGAAACGTGAAACATACGTCTTATTATTTAATTATCGTAAGACGCTAAGTTTTTTTTTTAAATTGTTAAAACTATGATGACAAGCCGCAATAAGCGATATCAGATGTCAAAGTTAGTTAAAATGAATTTTCTAACAATTGGAATACATTTATTTGGATTCAAACATGTTTCGATGATCAAGTATTTTTAAAGTGTTTTTCAGATATCATTCCGATTGATTCGATTAATGACTCCATGAATTAATTTGCCAATTGGCATGGTGCCAAAATGATTTCGTAACATTTTCCGAACACTTTTTCAACAAAATACCATACCTACAATTTTAAGAATAATTTTTAGTCCATGCTGTTTTATTTCTGACGATAAACTATGGACAAACAAACAGAGTCAACATTTCATTACGACACGGTAATACAAACAACTCTGCAAACGATGTCTTAATTATATTTTAATTAAAAATCACCATATTTTGTAATGAGCGAAAAAAGTGACTGGGAAATCAAACGCATAGACTTTTGTTACAAAACATTACGCGTCGATTTCGCGAAGTCCCCGAAAAATTCAAGGTTCCAGTTCTAGTTTCGACATTGCAATCGAATACTGTGAATTGACGAGTGCATGTGTACATATGCATATTACAATTTACGGAATTCGCATACGTCGCACATGATGTCACCGCGTACATTTCACCAGAATCACAGTAGCAGTCATGAATAGATTTTTTTTGAAAATATCTTTTGCTAACAATCGATGACAATTATAATAATATCAATAGTATAACAAGGGTAATATAGTGATAATTTTTTATCAATAATATTTGCTGGTAAATCATCGTATTATTATGAAACCGCATGCTCGTATGATAATGTAGTATAATATGACGTATGTATTATATCAGTCGGTTGTTCATTTTACTTATCTACACATTCTGTTCTTCTTTTTATGTGTTATACGACTCTGCAATAGTTTTGGTTGCCACTATCACCAACCTCCAATAATCACGATCCTATATCCTTTTTTCCCAATGTGTTACACTTTCAGTCTCTCTAGATCTTGACGCACTCTATCTATCCATCCATCGTTTCTTGGATCTGCCTAGGGGTCTTCTACTTGTTAGTTTGCATTCAATTGACGTCCTAACTTCATTAATTTCCTCTTTTCTCATTATGTGTCCAAACCACTGAATTCTCTGACCCTTCACGTAGATTATTATTAGAGCGCGAATTTTTATGCAATTGTATATTTTTTTCCTTTCAATATTTTTGGATTTTTTGTCAGTTATCTCCACGAATCATCATAATTTAAAGCTAATGGTGAAATTTTTTTTTGCATATTTCTGCATATTTAGAGGTTATTGCATATTTTTGCATATTTTGGCAAAATTGAAAATTTATTGCATATTGAAGTGAAAATTTAAAAAAAAAAATTTATAAAATAATATTTTGTCAAGTAGAAAAATTAAAACTAAATTTCATAGTCACTAAATAATATTTTATATATATATGTATATTTAGTTATAAAATAAATAATTGATTACGACGTAAACTTAATCGCTCTTGCTGTATCAGTCGGTTATCGACATACCACTTGCTTTAAATATGTCCCAATAACTTCGGTTGACGTCGAACGTTCGTTTTCAGTCTTTAAAATATGTTATACCGATAAACGACACAGCTTCACATAAGATAAACTTTACATGCTTATGATTATTCATTTTAATAATAAATAAAATTGTAAAATTAAATTAAGTTCAGAAAATTCTTAAATTTTTTTTATTAAGTATTTAAGTAATTAATTATTATAAGTTGAATAATAAATTTTAAATAAATAAAAAATTCTTGCATATTTTTTGCATATTTTCATAATTTTGACTGCATATTTTCACATATTTTCATGATTTTAACTGCATATTTTTTGCATATTTTCATGATTTTTACTACATTAATATGCACATATGTCATATTTCGTTACTTATTATACAAGGTACTTTGGTGATTTCCATTATTTCTGCGTTTCTTCTTCCACGCCATTTATTTATTTCGATATGGAAAACTGATCCCCTTATTGTTCTTGGTACTCTATTCTCAAAGGTTCACAGTTTCGATTCAATTGCACTGTCACTGTCATCTACACATTTTAGTTATTTTTATTGCGTACCTTTTTTCTACGAGTTTCTCCGGAGGATGAATATCACAATTTTTTTTTATAGCACATTTTAACGTATTACGATCATATTTAACATACAAGAGAGAAGATGATATTTATGCGTGCATTATCTCGGCCTCTCGCATTTGCATTTTCGCATTTATTTTTTTATTCGCTAAATTATCCAGTGCTCGATTCCGTAACCTTATTCGAAATTCCTGCTTCACTCGCTTCCCAAAAAAAAGTCACGTTGAACAATCGATTAATTGTAAGTGTATACGAAGAAATCATAAAAGTATGACGTGAATTGAAAAAAGAACTAGATGATAATTTTTTTTTATTTTCGTATTATTATTATACTCGTAAGTATTTTTTTTTTTTCAAATGTATTGTCTTTATTAGTAAAGTTATTGCTAATTTCATATTATTATTTCATTGTTTTCTAGCGCACAGGTCCCAAGCCCTGTTCATCTCACATGCTATCGCGGCCGGCAAGAATCGACGGTGACACGTTACCGCACCAAGCGGAGGTGGTGTCGTGGAGGGTGTGGCGGCGGCTATGAAATTTCACTTTCCGACGATCTGCTGCCGCCGCTGCTTCCATCGCCGGCGAAATCGTATAACGTTCGATCAGTCGCCGTTGCGTGCTCGACGTATAGTGACCAACCGTGTACATCTACTGCCGTAACGGACTTGTCGCACGTGTACTGCCCCGCGTACGTGTTCGCCACTGGTTTATTATACAATTGATTTACAGTTTGTGTTTATAATTATTATTATTATTTTTTTTTCCTCCGCAAATCGATTATAGTATTAAAAACTCGGTCATCGGTTTCTCGACGCAGAGTGCTAAGCGAATTACTTACGGTGAGTTATGTCGAAATATTTTTTTCTTCTCCCTTCCCTCTGTTTTAAACCCAAAACATACCGCATTGATAGTGCACGATCTTTTGAGAGGCGAAAAATATACCGGGCACAGATTTCGTAACGAAAAAAAAACAGCTCGAACACGTGCAGCGGATGGTGCGAGCTGTACCTGCAACGTGTTTCAACGATGTTTAAAGAATACGCGTTAAGATTAAAAGAAATATTTTACTCGTTTGGGTGGTGTACAAAATATCAGCTGAAACGTAAATCGATTTTGGTGAACATGATCATTTGTTAGATAATCGTTATGTTTAATTAATACGAAAGTTTTTGTAATTTATGTTTGATTGGTACTTTGGAATAAAAATACACATTGACATAATTCTCTGCGACCATATAAGCTGGACAACATTTGATAACGGTTTGAAATTTGACATTTGTGTGTATTTTCGAACAAAATCATTTCACAAAATATACCCTTAACGTTTTTATATCTGAAATGAGAAAATAAAAGTATAGTTAAATAAAAGTATGGTTAAATTTGAATTCATCTGTCCCTAAATCACGAATGGCAGTTTTTTTTTTAATGTGTAATTTTTATTTTATACACAATAATACATTTTCAAACACTTATTTTCGTGAATAAAATTTTACGTAATATTAAAATCGAAATAAAATATTTTTGATTGTCCGGTCTACATTGACAAAATGAATACAACACATTTTACATATGTATTATATAATAACATAGTAACATTATAACAGTTTACATTTTATTTTTCAGAAAAATCCCTTAGAAAATCCATAAAGTCCTTATTTTGTTTGATTTTTTAGTTAGAATCGTATAGTTTTTTTTTTTTAATAAATATTTTTGCTTAGTCTTAAATTTTTTAAGTGCTTATTTAAGTGCTTATAATGATGTTTTTAAGCGCTTATTTTAATGATTTTAAGTGCTATAAGTCCCGAGCCCTGATAATGTTTAACGTAAAACATATTTTATATTATTGTGCTATCTTTTAATTACTTATTTATTGATACACGTAACATATGTTTTACATTTTAAACAAATCAGTTAAAAAAAACATTCGACAATAAGTACCCCAATAATGCATACCCAAAAGATTATTTTCATTGCTTACATGGAAAGTATAATATTAATTAAATACTTATATATACTATAAAATTTTACTTCAATTTTAAAATCAGACACTAGTTTATTCTAAATATGTTTATTTAAATATAATACGACAACAATATACAATGTTTAACCTAAAATGATATTCTCAGTGTTTATTGTTTGTATGGTGAAACTGATCCAAAATGTATATTTTTATATTTTAAAACTTAATCATATTTGCTTCCAAGTACAAAGTAATTAATTTTCCTCTACAACCACACGTAATTGAAACACTTGTACTTACAAATAATTCAAATATTTGACAACGAATTCTTATTATGTTTTAATTTTCGAATCTATATTCAAATAACAAAATTTAATTTCATACACAATACATGCAGTATTTCTGTCGTAAAAAAGTATGTGTACCAGAGGCAGCTCCAAGTGGGGGGCTAAGGGCCGCGGCCCCCTCCCAAGCCCGTACCGTATTTATAAAAATTTTTATATTGTTAACAAAAAATGCATATTATAATATGTATTATTATACGAACGCACAAGTATATAGATAGAGCCATAGAGGTATGACAGTTGAAAGAAGTTTTTTCCCACTTCGGAGACTAAAAACCTGGCTTCGTCCAATGATGATTGAAGATAGACTATCAGCATTACGTCTCATTAATGTATATCATAAAGTAGATATTATAGATCAAATAGATCATATTATTGATATTTTTGCTAATTTTAAAAATAGACGACTTGAATCTGTGTTGTAAAAATTGTTGTTTTCTTTTTATTATAAGACTTTATAAAATTATAACTTAGCCTCCTCTCTCCTAACCAAGGCTCTGGAGCCGCCCCTGATGTGTACTACCTATGGTTTTAGTTGAGGGTATATTATATTAACACATATGCATAATAAGTACAAATTGAAATGGAAAAAACATATTTTTATCAATGTTATTCTATATTTTTTTTAACAAACAATTTTTTTATTTTACTGATTTAAATATATAATATAAGTACTTTGTTGAAAAATATTCCAAAAGTGTTCTTTGGGTTTCATTTTTATTTTCTGTTATTATCTATTGAGCTTGTTGTCATACTTAAAAAATCCCTTTGACAATATATATGTGAAATTTTTATTTTTATATTAACTACAGTGAATACTCTTTTAATGTCATTAAACATTTATACATCGATTATTCAGACAACAGCGATTGATCTTTATCACCTAATTTATAATATGTCGTTTTATTATTCGAATTAACAGTTGAATAAATTATAAATAAATAAACAAGTTTCATATTTCATAGAACAATTTGTTTTATCGTTATTTATAGTTTTCGTAATTTAATCAAAAAGGATGATAATAAGACTATACATATAATAGTATAGTATATCAAATTATTACATTTTATATTTTAAATTTTTAACTGATAAAAAGTATTCAACCTTAACCAGGAGATTACAGTGTTTTTTTTTAAACGAGCAGATGGTATACTACGTATACCGCCATATGCTCTTCATTACAGCTCTGAATATATTTACGTATGTACAACTTTTAAAATAAGTTCATCATTTATATAAATTTATAAATTAATAATTGCAATAAGTGATTATTGTTGGTTTATTCATTATGCTATATTGCTTAGTAATAGTTAGTAATAGTAATAGTTATAAATAGTAATAATTTCAGTTGTTTTATAGAATATGTATGTATAGTTTTATTTATAAAAAAAAAACGAAAAATGAATAGGTGAATACTTATCAGTTTTTTTTTTTTATTATTTTCTGTTTTTTAAACTTAAATTTATGTTATTCGTAAAAGAAAAATGTTATTGATACATTTTAATTCCTCATTAATCCCAAATTAAATAATTCTAATAAAATTGATATTTTAAATAAATAAAGGCATATTAATTTGATTTATATTTTAAATTTCAAATCTACAACAAAATTCAATGAAAATATTTAAAATTAAAAATTGTAACTTTTGAAAAATTATTTTATGTGATTTAAATTTCTTGTAAATGTATTTTAATTGCAAGATAATTAATTAAACATTTATAAAATTATAAGTAATGCTTAACATATATATATGCTTAACATATATATATCTATATAGTAATAGAAGTATCTATACATAAAATATTTTTACTGACTATTAGTGATACCAAATCCTATATTCCTACATTATTTCATAACAACTAAAATTGAGCACTATTCCAGAAGTGCTTGTTTAAAATAAATTTAAAAATGCAATGTCATGATCCATTTATTTAAAGTTATGCATGTTGTCATATGCAGATGCGATATGAGTAAACGTATTTTATTGGTAGCTGTTATTTAATATTATATTTTATATTTTTTTCGCCAATGTAATCATTAAATATCTTAAAATAATCATATTCAACATATTATTTATATTTAATTGTTCATATAATCTCATACATTTAACTATCCACTTTTATTATATTTTTTAGTATAATAAATATACAATGTAACTATGATATAAAATATTTCTACATTAAATTCCACACATTTTATTATATAAAAAAAATACCAATATTATTTTCTAAACTTTCCTTAAATCTTATTAAAATATTAATTATTATTCATTCATAAAATAATAGAATTTGAAGTATAAATACTTACGTATATTATAGTCATAGGTAGCTGTGTAAAAGTTATCTATAAGGAAACGAAGGACAAGGACGATTTCGTAGAAAATGTATTATTCATAAAAATTATTGTATTCATATTAATAATAATAATAATAAAATATAGTTCATTGAAAAGTATTAAATTTAATTAATTATAGAGTTTTGACACTTAAATTACATTTATTTAGTTTATGAAATTATATGGAACAAATATTATATTAATAATAACTCAAGTTAAAATTAAATATTTTTATTACAGAACTTTTTTTTTATTGGTACATATATTACATAATAATTTATAAGATGATCGGTAAAAATAATATTTGAACGTAATATCTTTTTACTGTAAATTCTTAGTGAAACAAAGAAAGTGTTGATTCTATAAATTACAATGATGTGTTTTCTTTATTATCCAATTTTTTCTGGAAGCTTATTTAAAGCGACTTAATTATTTAAATATTTTATGTATTTGGTAAATTTAGAATTTTGACGATTTTTAATTTTAATGATATATAAATCTATAAATGTGTGGTTATGAATAATAATTTTTTCCAAAATGTATTCTTAAAAACTTATTATGAAGTATATTTGAAATGTAATTTCGATTGAGATTCTAAAATATTAATCATAAAATTTGATACTAACAAAGGTCCTATTTGGAAATCTAAGTAAATAATTTTTAAAGGAAGCTATCTTTTGTACATTTTAGCAAACTAATTTATATTGGTCATCGCTTTTCAAATGTCAATTTTTTTTAAATGTATGAGTTCTTGTATTTCGTGTAAACTATAATATTGTTGTCTCTTTTCAACTAACATTTTAGTAAGTATTTTCATCTCAGTTCTTGATATAAAAAAATTTACGTAATCCATAAAATGAAAATTATAGTTTTCCAATGTTTTCTTCGAGATAAAACATTTTAACGTTTTATATTTAGCCCTTAAAAATACGATCAGTTTGTGGTAAATAAATATAATATTAAATACATAATGAACAATATTCCCTATAAACCGCTAAGAGCGGCGATATTCTATTAATATACGCGCTATGCTCAAACAAATGCAATACTATTTTTAAAAAAAAAAGAGTTCGAAAACATAATACTTCGTAGGTACTTCCAACCGATATTGATCGATTTAATATTGAAGACATTTCCAATGGAAAATAATCGTATCCTTAGTGGGCCATTGAACATACGTATGCGTAGGTTGGTTTTAGAATAAAAATGATTTAGTTAACGTACGCTCGATATGTTATTATAACGTATAATATTATACACGTGTTTAACAATAACTGTACACCATTATTTTGATCAAATGAATCGTGTAGCAACGAATATGGTGCAAGACGTGTTTTGAATCCACGTCATCGAATATCACGAACGTTTAAACGAATAAAATGCAAAAAGCCGAATGGCGACTTACACGCAGCATATGGTTTCCGTTGGCGTTACCGTTATAACTGACTGAAAGGTATCGCAGACACAACGATTATGCGCGTGGCATGTTTGCATTTGTGTGCAGCTGTGATGACTGCAGGCCTGGGCAACGAGGTTTCACTTGAATAAAATTTAAAAAACCCTCATGAAGAAGGTGCGACCGAACAGTGTACGACTGCGGACTTGGTAATCTTGGTATTGTACGTGTATAGTTCGTCTTAGCTTCGTGTCCGGCCGGAGAAATAACCATAACAAAATACACACGTGCACGTTAACGATTACATCGCAAAGTAATGTGCAATGCGTTTTGCCTGAAGTTATGTCACTCGAATTTTAACGTTAGATACCTATTTTAAATATTGAAACGCATTTCTTTAACATGCATACACCATGCGTAGATGTTTGCAGTGGACCATTCCTACTATATTTTATAACTTTATCGCACAATGAAATGGTTATTTTCCTTTTTTTCATAGCCATTCGAAAACGATAACATTTTTTGAACACCCTCGATTATCGGACTAATGTGCAATTAACCTATTGTAATGGTTGTTTTGTTGCTACGTTGCTTTCGTTGACGTGATAAAATTATTACGCACGTCGACCGCAGACCAAATTATTTACCAGCATCATTATGTAGGCGGTAAAGTTTTTTTATAATGTTGGAAGTATTTTTAATAACAAGCAACGGAATAGTGTATCGCGAACATTTGATTTATTTTTATATTTGTGCAAGTGTTAAAACATTATTTCTTTCTTCTTTGTTCATTGTTCATTTTTTTTTTTTTTTTAATGTTGTTCTTCTTGTGTGTACTGTAATGACGCAATATTCAGGAAATACATGTCTAGATGAGTTCAAATTAAATTAAGTCTTTTTTTACCCGTTATGATTGATTTCCGTTCGTTACTGATGATTAAGTTTAAAAAAACCCATTCCCCATTACTGCTTTATTCATAAACATGTGCGCTATTTGCAATGATTGAATGCTTTAATTTAATTATGTCTGTTGATCCAAGTAAACAATCGTCAAATCATCGTACGACATGCGCGTACACCGAAGACAATATTTTTATAAATTTCCAAACATACCAACGCGACTTATCGCTTCTAACTGTTTGCGTAGGAGTAAAGACTCGTCTGTATTGTTATTATTACGTACATCGTATTAGAGTGTTGGTTTGGGCGTCTCAGATGTGATGCGTTATTAGGTTTACTTAGTATCGTGTCCGAACGGTTTTTTAAATAGTCATATTGATAAATATCGGACGGTCATCGTCTTATTATACAAGTTCAACGTACTTCGATCGAAAATAACGCCGTTTATATGGAATTAAATCCTGTCGGGTGACCAGTACGAGGATGCAGAGTGTGCAGTGTTTGTATACATTTTAAAGCCACGAATACGTATAGTACACGCTGAATGAAAATCTAAATTACAGGTTGTACGGTATGAACAAAAAACACCATTGTTCCCCTCGAGTCGACAGACAAAAAAATAAAATAAAACAGCTTGTCGAATGTACGTGCACCAATAATGAAGGTGACAAATTCCGTACAGTTCATTATACTCCCTCCGAAGTATAATGAATGGTGGAAGAAGAAAAAATTAAATATATCAACATGTGATGTAATTTTTTGACAGGTTCATTGTAATATATTCACACACACACACGAACAAGAATATTATCAATATATTTATAAAACGATACACGATATTTTATTTAGACATTTAAATATCTTCTTAATATTTTATGATGTTGCTTTAAATAAAACACAAATGATTTGGATACTTTTCTGGAATAATCGATTTTTCATAATAATTTACTTCAGTAATTAAAGTTTGTTATTTTACGTTTTATTTATAACGTATTTTAGCTTATTATTTTTTTATTTAAACTTCATTCACAGTTACTATTGGTAACTACACTTGTTGACATACATGACTAATTTTTTTAGTATGAAAAAAATTAATTGTTTATAATATAGTTTTTATATACCTATTCATATGGTAGTGGTTATAAAAAGCAAACTTAATAATAATAATACGAAAAAAAATTATATTTTACAAGTATTAAAATTATAAGCAACTGTGTTTGCATTAATTATTTCTATGTAATAAACAAATTTCAGTTGTGGCATAAAAATTAGGAATTAAATATTTTTTACTACTGTAATGATTTTGTTGAAACATAATATTTAATTGAATCGTGAATTTCGAAAAAGGGCTCATATCTGAAAATTAAAATAATTTAGGAAACTAAAAAAACTGATTTTCTTTTGAATTATTTTCTTTATTTTAGCAATTGACAATAAATAATAAATTAATTCATCACAATAGAATAGAGATAATCTGAACCCTTGTTGCTCATAAAATATCGGTCGACGATATGTGTAGACGAAAAAAATGTAGCAAAGTCTATTTTGATAAAAACTCGAGATGGGCCTTTTTCGAAATTCATGATTCAATTATAATTATTCTTTAATATTTAGAGTAAAATTTGTTTTAATTTCAATGATTTTTGTTATTGAAATGTTATTTTGTATAATGTTCAAGAAACGTTCAATTTTCATTTATTTGTTTGGTTTTGATTGCATTTCTTTGTTATGATTTGCAGTACTTTTAATAAATTTTATATATTTTATTCACAATGTGATCGCATATTATTACGGAAACAGACGAGCTTCTATTTTATTGTTGATACTTTATATTTATTAACTATTATTGCCTTAATCCATTAATATATATATACCTACATTCACTTCATTCAACCGCTTTCTAAACTCGTTTTTTGCGAATTATTTAAACGGGCTGTTACATTGCACATATACGGCTGGTGCACATTGCGCCCTGTAACTGAACTGATTTTTCATCAATTTCATAGTTTGCTAATTATTTATCACATGACGTATACATTTCCACAAATCAAAAATGTTATGAACTCATCCGAAATAATAACTATTGTGTTAAACGCATCGATACGAATGCACAGGATATTATATGTTTTCGCACATGGTTCAAAATCACGCCTCGTCGAGTGCAAACCAACGCCCAGTTGATCGTCTGATATTCATCGGAATTAGATAATAAATAATAATAATGTATAATAATTACCGTAAGTTACGTAAAAATAAATATTATAATTAAAAACAATTTATAATATAGAAACAACATTGTCCGAAGATATCGACCTGAGGGTATTTTTTTGTGCGACAGGAGCCGTTAAAAGGAACGCAACTAAATGCGTTAAAAATCGCTCGCGATTCTAAACCCTGAAAATCGTTTGAAAATACCGTTCTATCTTTCATTCGTCTAATGTGTGTACATAGAATAGACGATGCTTTAGGACTTATATTTTTCTTTATATATGAAAGAATCGATTAATATTTTTCATTCTGTTTGCATCATTGTCCGATGACACAATACGCGTGTACACTGGACAACATTGGGTTGATTGAACTTCGCTGACAAGGTTGTCGTACATATATTTATTATTGTACTTTAATTGCGCCTTTATCATTTATATAAAACTTCTAATGGAATCGTAAGATCTACGCATGTTACCGATTTGTAGCATGATGTTTTGTCAACTTATCCAATCTTGTAGCATCTTCTAAAATTCATCAAATAAAAATGTATATCTACTTAACAGCGTCGCACAAAAAATTTTCAATTCATTTATTTTTACCGTATTTTTAAGATTTATAAAATATTAAAACATCAAATATTTTACTTATTATTTAGATATATTATTAAATTTTTAATTATATTAATTATTTTTAAGATACTGAAAATATATAAGATTAATAGACCATTGAGTATTTTGATGGAAACTATTGGTAATTTATGAATTTGTTAAACTTGATGAATACGAATATTCAAATTTCATAAAAAACCGCAGTAGATAGGTTTGTAGCTTATAGATATAAACATTATTCTATGTGAATGATAACTTGCACTTTGTTCTACTTTGTAATTATAATTTATTAAGTAAAATACGAGAAATAAAAATTAATCAAATAATGAAATAATTCTAAGAGTTGGATATTTTTTATATTAAATATTGAGGTTTAAATACAATAAAAAGGTACATTGATATGGCATGAAAAGAAAAAAAAATTTAAAATCTATACATTTAAAATAATTTCAAATTATAATTTCAGGCTATATTTGAAGTGTGATGGATGTGTGTGTCTTCAGAGATGCACAAATGGCTGCAATTGCCGGCTACTCCGACAGACGATCCGTTGGCTTCTGTTTACCCATCCAATCATTACAAGAAGTCACACGTTTACGCTGTCACAAGGTAATTTATCAAACCGATAATTTTCTTTGTAAAATATGTAATAATATTATGATAAATTGTTGGAAGTGTAAAAAAAAAATGTTTACGTGATGCTTACCTACTTTCAAAAAAATTAATTCAAAAATATCTAATTATACATATGAATATGTATATATATATAATACAATTATAATCTTTAATGTACATAACAGAATAATAATTAATATTAATTTATACAATTATTCATATTTACATAACAATTACAATAGGTTAAGTATTCATATTTTTTAGTTCTTCTCGCATCGCAATAAGCTTCCACGATCAATCGTATCTACAAATAACTTCCGGTATCGTTTATGAATTTGAACAATTTTCTTTAAAGAACCCCTCTAGGTTAAGTTAGTAGAATATTTAAAACCACAAAACGATATGTTTACACTCCCTATAAATTATCTAAGGTCGCATAAATTTCAATTACGCCCCTAAGATTATGTAGCACAAACTATGATACAAAAACAGACTTTACACAGCATAAAAACCAACATTCTAAATCTAGGCACTGGATAAATTTCATTATACGTCATATTCGAACGATTTTTAAGAATCGGACTGTACGCGTTTTATAATTAATAGTATTCGAACATCGTTATTAACTAGTCGGAAAACAATAAATTGAAATCTTGTTGAAAACCAAATCGTTCATGATCTTTCAAACAGAAAACGAACTTTGTACGCTTCAATCTCCACAGAAGTAATAACATTAATGTTTACGGACGACTGATGTCAGTCAAACTTCAATTCGAAAATGTTTTATTGTTCGTAGACACATTGTCATCAATATAACAGTCGTATTTATCGCGGTTTCCGGCTTCCGATTCGTTACAGAAATGTATTAGGAGAATTAGAGAGCGACAGTGTAAGACTGACGAAGGTGAATCCCACTTGAATAATTAAGCAGATGAAAAAAACGGGTTTTAACCCATCACTTTGATCAGCGATGACGACATTCGGTTGAAGTTCGTTAGAGGTATATAACGATTAAAAAGTGAGATTTCCGTTAGTGTTCACCGGTTTTGTTTACATCCCGACGAAAGTAAATCGTACGGTAGGTTCCTATTTGTTTAACCGAAATCTTCGAGAAACGTACACTGCAGGACATTGTCGTTGTGCAATTTATATCGGTAGACGTTGGACAATTATACGCATTTCCCGTACTCACCGGTTTGTTCGGTCAACATTAACTCGTTAATGTTTTTCAAACAAACCGAATCAAATGCTTAACGTACGATATAGTATTATAATACATCATCAAACGTTGGCGATATAGATGGGTACTGAAATATTTTTACTGCAGCAGTTCCACGAAGTAGGTGTTAAAAAGTTTACACATTTTATTGTTATTTTTTTTAATTTTTTTTTTTTATCGTGAACACGAATCTAAAATCGTATTCGTTCGAAATCAGTGTATTACATGGAAAATTTAATACTGCACACGCGGTTCGAACCAACCGAGCCATGAACTCTGAACTGACCAGAAAATCCTGGTCGGTACGTACTTCGCAGACACGCAAAGATAATTGTGCAGAGATTATATATGAGTGTTTGGGTGTGTGTGCGTGCAGCTGCACGGGATCCGCGTATTAAGGCGATGGTGTGTGATATTTCACCTGGTTATGGTCCAGCGAACTCGAGGGAAACCTAATAAGGACGTACTTGGATATTTGAGATAAAAAAATAAAAAAATAAAAAAAAATGAAATAAAATAAAATAAAACACACGAGCGCGCGCGCGCACGTTTCAAGGTTATTGTTACCACGGTGGTGAGCAGCACCGTGCCTGCCGTGTGCACAGGTGTATACAGTGCATTTTACGAGTGCGTCTATAATAGTAATAATAAGTAAGTAACAATATATATATCGTTTTACCTTCATCCTCGGCACGAAGACATGGGTCCGATACAAGATTTACAGCGAAAAATTTTCACGAACAAAAATCGTCTTACGATCCCGCGCCGCGCACATGACTTACTTATCCTTCGGTTCTCTTTTGTGACAATTTGTTGGACGATTGATATGCACCGCCCGTGATCGGGTCCCATTGTTCGCGCGTTATCCCCGTAACACAAGAAGACCGAAATCATGTTGCAACTTCTCCGGACGACCTTATACGGTCCGACGAGAAAGAGAAATGCATATAATAGTATAATAATAATAATATAATAACTATACTTATATATATATATATTAATATTTAGTAATAATATTTTATTCTTTCATTTCCATTTCTCGTTCATGGCTGTGTTCATAGCACGCCTGTGGATAATTTTATATTAGTATCTATTTGATCAGTGGATAATCGCGTGTTGATTCGAGGGACGAGACAATATTTCCATTTTAGAATCTGAGTGAGGCGGGAATGTATTATTTTAGATATATTCCTTAAGCACAGTAGTATCAAAACTCAAAAGTATCAATACTAAGAAATAAATCCAAAATTGAACAAAAGCGGATCCGCAGTTAGAAAACTGTGGGTCAGGCTATTTCAAGAGACTACATATTAGGGTTGAAACTGGATTATAAATATATACCTTGAAACAAAAAAACAAAATATTGTCATATAATAAGTTTGGGGAAGGGGAGGGTGACAACTGAGACATTTTCCCCAGTGTAGTATTAACTTCAACCTACAGTCGGTAAACTTTAATATATAAGAGTTTGAGAAGCCAATTTTGTCAACTTATATTTACTGTGGGTCAGCTAACCCCCCCCCCCCCCCTATATTCACCCCTGAAATGGAGTCATTCATCCTTATCAAAATATGTGATGGCTTATATTAGTCAAATTATTATTTTGAATTAAACTTTGTATCTATAGTTAATCACAATATAAAATATATTTTTAATCGAAAAAGTCGTTTCGTAACATTAAAGTGTGATAGCTTGTCGTAATATTGAACACTATATATATATATAAATTATATTCACAATAGTCCTGTAATATTCTTAATAAAGTGTAAAGTGATACCATAAGTGTAATAAACATTGAGCTAACCGATTTCGCTTAACATTAAATGTTCTTAAAAGTTCCTTTGCTGTATAATCATTTGAATTTTCTCTTGGGGGTAGTCATCGAGAATGAGTAAAAACTTTGACACAATGATGCTGAAAGCAGTTTAACTAAACTTAATTAAATTATATAAATCGAAAATAATATTAATTAAAAATAGAAATATATATAAATTATTCGCTATAATTAAAACGTTAAATATCGAAGGGAAAACAATTTTATATAAACATATTGAAAAAACGAAAAGAAATGTAGCTAAATTTCATTATTTTTCTGATTTTAATTTAGATGCTTGCGTAAATATGTTTAAAATTACATAAATTATCAAATAAAATGTTGAAATAATGAGTAGTTTTACCTTCAAAAAGCAGCGCCAATCGATTCATTAGCATTTCTGTAATCAACATGTACAACCCGAGGTTTGCTAACTTTACAGCTGTCGTTGATAAGTAAACATAAGTGTACAGCCTTTAAAGATAATTATAGTGCACTAGCCATTAGACATTAATTAAAATGTCACGATTTATTGTTTTCATACAAAATTACAAGATAGCAGATCATTATAGTTTTCATTCATTATTGTCACCGTAGTCCGCAGCACGTTGTGATAGTATATTTTATATATATATATATGTGCGCTACTGATGTACTTTGAGTTTGTTGAAGTTAGTCAATAATTAAATTATAAACGTCTACTAAAAATCCATACAAATCGGAAAATTCGATAGGAAATTTACGAGTAAAAGTTTGTAAACCATATTAATTATTAGTTATTTATAACCCGTAGATTTAATGAGCGCCTTAAAATATCAATTAAAATAATTAAATAACTACTATCGACTTTTTCACAATAATTAACAAGTTATTATTATGCTGAGCGAACTTTATAAACCTGTCCATTCTGTTATAGTCCACTGAACTTGTTTACAATATTACAGACAAATATTGAACGCGCGTTTTTGCGAATTTTACAAAATTTAATTTTCTATTTAAATAATTTTATATAAAAATATCAAAATATATTTTCTATATTTGTACTGTTTGTGTTTTTATAATGAAATTAATTAACAATTTTTCCCGTACGTGTTACGATTCAACCATTTTTTTTAATTATTTAATGATATTTTACCATTAAAGAAATCTCTGCGTGAGTAATAAGCTATATGTTATGATGAGTGGAAATAAAGAGTGTAGAATAATTCATAAATGACATCAATTGAATTTGTTAGTAATTATTTTCATGTATATTATACATTTAACAAGGTTAAAGTACGCTTAGTACATATAATGTTATGCGAATACAAAAATTTTCAGAGGTACTGTAGTAAAAAAAAAAAACTTAATTTTATAATGGTCCATGATTAATACTGTAGGAGTTAATTAGTGTCGTGTTGAAGTATCAAATAAAAAATCTGCACAGAATATGTATTAAACCATAAAATAAAATGCGGATATAGGCGATTGACGATAGTGTTTTGAGGAAGTTGAAAAATATATCATGTTTAGTATACTGTGTACATGTATAATATTTACTTAATTTACTTATAATTATTATTATTATAGTTATAGATGTGATATTATCTATAATATTTCGTTGTAATTAAAAAGAGAGTTTAATAATTTCCCATTCACCACTTCTTCTATAGGATCAATGTCTACATTATGCATGCATAAGACATACGGAAATATTGGCTGTATGTTTTTTTACTACATAATTAATAATATATCCTATACAATTTGTAATCGATTTTGAAATATTAAACGTGGAGTAAGAATTTTTATTTACCATTATACTTAATTTTTTTTTTTTTTTATAACATCAATAACAGAAATTGTTATGTAAGAATAATTTTATATAGTATATAAAGCATTTTATAGTAAAAAATTGAAAACAACAAATTTAATTTATAAAAAAATCCACCAACAAGAAAAAATATAATACACGAAAAGAAAGAACCAGCAAAACAACTAAGTTTCATATTTAGTTACCTGCAGGTAAATTAGTATAAAAACAAAAGAAATGCATTAAAAAAGTACGATTTAATGCACTCATAACAGATAATTTTTAAAAAAATGCTCTAAAAAGGTGCTCTTAAAATTAATATCAAAGAAATTTGTTTTGTAGTTACATAAATTATTATTGTTCTTATAATTTTACTTTTCATATTCTTGCCTTGAAAATTATTTCGAAAAAAATGAATATACAATCTTAATAGATACATTAAAAAACATAACCATCTTCTTCTTCTTCTTCTTGGGGTTTATCGGCTATTAAGAACATCCCGTTACACATCCAATTCTCAAAAACATAATAAATAATAAAAATTGAAGTACAACGAGGCAAAATAAATATCTAATTTTATTGTTTAAAATTAATTTTAATTAAGTTGTTATCAAATGTTTTCCATTCTTATATAAAAATAACTTGAAAACATAAGAATGTACTAAAAATATTTAAAAATGCTTTAAATAGTAAAAAAGATATAAGAAAAAAAAGTACAAAATAGAAATTACATTTTTTAATTCCTTGTTGTATGAAATGAACATTGTACTTGGAAAGCTACTTTTTCGGAAAAAAAATGCAATTCGCATTAAAATCCGTTTTCAAGTAATAAGTAAACGTGTACACAATCTATATACTCGTAATATCATCTTCGACGAATAACTTCCGACGCAATTACTCAATCACAAACAATTTTTAGTGGATTTCAACTTTTACCCGCACGTGAATTGCGCTTGTTATTTATAAGTTATAAATTATAACTATCTATGAAAATTCAACGTGACCGAAAATTAATTATTTTTGACGCGAGTCGTTAATTAATAAACAAACGACAACAGCACGACATGACCCGATGAGTGGTGCCTGTACCACGATAATATTAAAAAAAAAAAAATTTCGATGATGAATGTACAAACCCGGTGGTCAAATTTTTCGATATTACTCCGACGAGTAGTTTAGAACGAACAAACGTGTTCGATTGTTTTTATGAAATAACGATATCACCTCCGGACCATTAAACACGAACGAACATTATAACACGATGATAAGGCCCCGCGTCCATAGTACTGCGAGCGTAGACATAACTTATCTCGCAGTGGCGGCTATCGTCGCGTGGCTGAACGCGTAACACCACTGCGTACACCCTGTAAAATAGTTACGTCACACGATTGAAATGTAATGCATTGTAAACTAACTCGTCGGTTAACAATGGCCGTTACAGGATAAATCCCATTTACGTGGACGACGAACTGCTGCACCAGCACCATGGGACGTGGAACAGGAACGGTAGTTCCGGTTACGACAGCCAGCCGCACTCGGACCACTCGTCGAGCCTGGACAAGAACTCGCCGCCGGGCACCAAGTGCCTGAGGTCGCCACCGCCGTCGCCTACGGGCAAGCTGTCGGGCGGTCAACTCGGGGCCGTCACGGCGTCGTGGCTATCGCCCATCGAGGAGGGTGTGGTCGACGTGCGCCTGTTCGTGCCGCGACCCGTGTGGCCGGGGCACGGCGGCAGCGACTGCACGTACGCCGACCACGGGCGCATACCGCGGGCGAAATGCTGCAGGTCGCACGACCGGTGCCGGTGCCTCAGCAACGGCAACGGCAGCATCAGCAGTAGTAGCAGCAGCAGCAGCAGCAGCAGCGTCGACAACGGGCAGCGGGCGGCGGCGAAAGCGGTCTGCAGCTATTCCGGGTACTCATCGGCATACGGAGGGTCCGGCAGCGGGACGGTTAGCACTAGCACGACCACTAGTGGCGGCGGCGGCGGGGCCACCTGTTCTTGTTCGGACGACGCCAACCAACCGTCGTCGGGCATCGGTTCCGTCAGCAGCTTCAACAAGCAGTCACCGCTGACGTTGCAACCGCCGCGTTTCGGCATCGGTACCGCGGGCCACGTCGACAACAAGGCTCTGGTCAAATGCGCCTGGAACGCGGCCGCCGACCTGAGGCTCAACCAAAAGACTGATAACCTACACAATGTGAGTACGACCGCAAACTATTTTACGTCGTATCGTATGCTGATGCGCCGTATATTGTTTAGTTGCTAAGCTTAGAAATTATTGTGTAACATACCCCGCTACGGAAAAATCGATTTTCCCGAGTTTAGGCAGGTGTACAAATTACGATCACAAATCGTTACAATTGAAATAACAATCGATAGGATATTTTTGGAGTTGTATACATACTTTGGTGATACTGGGGTAACTAATCTAATTCGTACGACATTTACAGCCGATTATCATCACGTGCTTTCACGTCCCACGGTCTTTGATCTTAAACCGCGGATCTCACTCCAAGAATCGTTCGTCGTCCATGCGACCCTTTTTGCAACATTACGTGACGTGTTTTTTTTTTTTTTTTTAATAATGTTCGTTCCCGTCCGATGTTTTTTTTACTCGCGTGCGAACGTCATTGCGGGCCAGGTGAGATCGAGATGTGGTGCACTCGGTGCAACGGTGCGTGGATTAGCACAGCGTTACGTTTCAAGCCAAATCGGTCAGGTTTGGATAAACTGTTTTCAAATCATTCGCTGAAATACGACCCGGGATCGCAGCGCTATTGATTCGCTAATATTACTGTTCGCGGACCACTTCCGTTACACGTATCGTATCGTTCTTTACGCATTTTCCTTTTTAACTGAAAAAAAAATAGCGTCTAAAATATGTTTTTGATAAATCGTTGATTAGTGTTGCGATTTTTATTCACCGACAAATTTTCACTTCCGGATTTACGACCGCACGTGTCACGAGATACATCGATGTCTTGCGTCATAAAATCCAACGCATCCCCGTAACGGTTCGGACGAGGTAAGCCGTTCGCAATTCACGTGTAGGCGATTTCAGCACATTGCGTACGTGCGAGTTATAGACGACATCCGTTGTAATTGAATAATTGGACTTTTTTTGCTAACTTTTCTTACACGCGCTATCAACGAGTTTTGTTGGCGGAAAAAAACACTAGACGCTTGTAATATATATCTTGGGAAGGGCAATGATTCTGGTTTTGTGGCGCACGAGACCACTCGGCTGAGTAATTATCGAGATGACCGATAAGCGAGGATGTGCACACGTGAGCGTTCTCCGCACCCGAGTTTTTTGTTGAGATTTTGAAAACGATCATGTAACAAATCTAACGCAAGACTGATTAAATACAAGCTGTAATCATACTAACCAGACGCTAATCCTGAATTTATTGGATCACACGGGTTAGCGAACTTACCGTGAAAAATAATTAAAAATTTACATAGCTGGTGCATATAATATTGGTCGTACTTACGAATTACAAAATCTCGTTAACAAAATCTTACAGTTGCATACAACGTGGTAAAACAGTTTGGTGTTCGTGTCAACTTTTTAGAACACTATCCGTAATGTTTCTCTTACACACGAAAACCGTGTGCAGGCTCTAAAATTGAAATTAAAAACTATTGCATAACGGTTTGAAAATATTGACGAAAGTTTGATCGACACGCGAAATCTTTAACGACAACGACAATAGCGTATAACTTCTCCCGCGGCTCCTCCACGCCCAGTATGAATTTTCGTTACGCATTTTTAATCCAAACATATTACAATAAATACATATATATATATATTAGATATATATATATATATATATATATATATATGTTCACAGAATAGATGACCTATGATCATGACCAGTTATTACATTCGAGCTCTAAAACACCTATACAGTCACGTTGTGTGTACAAAATAAACGAATGGATTTGCATCAACCGTTACTCGTCATGTGTACAGGGTGTATGCCTGAAACCGTTATATTGTGGTAGAACAATGCAATTTCGTTTGGCATCATGGTTTGCAAACCAGCGATTAGTCATCGCAACGAATCACTGTTTAAAATATCTTCATAGTGGACATTTTGTAATTCCCCACCGCGTTACAGAACGCCTCACCATGTGTATCCGTGGATATCTCCATCATATTATGGATAATATTGTGTGAATAAAATTCATTTGTTACAAAATCTTGGTGGTAATAAAACGTAATTCGATCAAATTTTTTTAAATCTATTTTTTTTTATAACGCACTCTGTACAACGGTTTATTAATCGATATCGTATCGTTTTTACTCGTAATATGCAATGTTGTCGTTGTACATTCTTATGTTATATTTTTTTAATCGCTACTTACACAGAATAAATATGTAGATATTCAGTGTTGTGTTTTTTTTTTGGGGGGGGGGGGCGTCCCGAATCTCGAGCCCCAGAAGAAGAAAGGTTAAAAAGTTAAAATTTTTAACTTTTGAAATTTGCTACAAAGGTACAGTGAAATTCGAAAATAATTTATATCATGTGGTTATATTGTTTATTCGAAAATATATGTCTGATGATACAATTATTAATCCGTACCTTCCATATGAAGATTTTGTAATATTATAAAATCACTTTTTTAGAAAAATTTTAATTCCTCCCTCCACGCAAAAACTTTGAAAATAAGCCATTGCATATATTTATAAATATAGGCTACGGACGAATGTATATCTATTTCCAAGTGTGTTGTAATTACACTTTTCGTTTTCAGACGACCTGTTGTCGCACGAATGAACGCAAGCATGTGTAGTAATAATATTTGCTTCGAAGTTAAACTGTGTTATCGAATTTTTTTTTTTTTTTTTTCATCATTCCGGATGTAACGGACACTTGTGGCAACGAGTATTGCTATAATACGTCTTTGATTATTACGGCACTTGTTTTCAACTCCTTAATTTTCTCCATACACGCGTATTTGTACTATACATTAGCAATAAAACGTAATGATTACGGTATTGACAACGAATTGATGCTCCGTCCTTGTAACAAATTATTATTTATTTGTTTCTCTTCTGCATGTGTACTGCACATCTATAATAAATGTTTCGTAAAAAAAAAAAAGAAAAAACGATGATTGAAATTCTTCTCTTATCTAATACGAAGTATTTAAAACAATAATTACGAATACGATATTATACCACCCCGTAATAGTCAATTTCTGATGACAATAATTATAATGAATAATAATATGTTTTTATTTATTCAATGTCATATAGCGTCGAAAATAAACTGCACAAAATAACACCCTACAAATGTATGAATGGAATATTTAGCTTAGTGCTTTTACACTTACGTCCAATACACGCGGAGCACGATGCGACAACTCGGTCGTGTATTATATTGTGTGTGGTAAGAAATTCTCACGCTCACCGCCATATGTTTAATTCGTATATTGTATTCGTGTTGCAGCCTTGTGAGCATATAATAAAATACAACATTTTATACTGAATTCCGAGGCATATATTTATAGAATTAAATGTGTACACAATTATACTATCCACTCAATAATTTAACGAAATGCCTTAGTCATGTAAATAAATGTCTACACATATTATAATTGCAAAACAAACAATAATTTATTATTAATTGTATTACTATTTATTGTTATTGTTATTTGAATATAAATACTAGGATAGTAAATCACTTATGATCCTCCAATAATGTAAAAGTAAAACATCCATTAGTTTGCACTTTTAAAAAATAAAGGTACACGTTTTGATACGCGAGAGACGTAATTATCTTAATTGAACAATAGGCAAACAACAATATAATTTATATAGAATAACAATAAATTAACAATAGTATAATTAGTAAGAAAATACAGTTTTTAATATTATAAAAATATTCCATTCATTATCATTTGCTTGCCGCGTAATATACATGTAGTGTAGTGTCTTGGCAATTAACTAAACGCGTTTAGGTACATAGTAAAAATTACACTAAAATTTAACTCTTTGACTATTTATCTAAGAATCCAGTAAAATCAGTAGTGTACTTACAATTAATCAATAATTTTTTTTTTTTGGGGGAGGGGGGTGCTATGTCATCATAATTTTTTTTTAATAAATCAGTACAAAATAGTCAAAATTAAATTTTAATATATTGTACCATCTTCTTATGGAAAAGTGTAATTTCATTAGTTATAAACTATATAATAAACTCTAACTTCCTTCTTTTATTTTCCAGTTTGTCAATAACTTCATTGGTAGTAATATTTGAATCTTGATGAATCGATAACATAACAAGGCCATTATTTTTTTTTGAAACTAAATGTCCATACAATTTATAATGTTCAATTATGAATTATATTTTTTGAGAGAAATTTTAGGACAAATTTTTATTATTACCTACATCTAAAGTAGACTGTGTCGGTATCAATACATTTTGAGTTACTTTATCCTGTTATAATGATTTATAATAACTATTCTAATACATTTTTAATTACAATAATATAATATGTATATATATATTTATAAATAAACATTTTACTTTTTGAATTTTAATAAATACATAGTAAAAAGTTTGATAATTTGCCGTAAATAAACGTAATATATTAATAAATGTTTAAATAATTGAAAGTTCTCGTAGTTGGCAAGAGTTAAGCTTTCCCCTTCAGATTATTTTTTATAAATTTAAATGCACACCTATTATTTATTTACCTACATAAACAAATTAAAATCTACATAATAAATTAAAATATTGTTCTTAAAATTACGATTTAAATACAACAAAATAATGGTGGCTTAATAATTTGTTAAAACCAACCGCTTGGCAAATTTATTATACAATTTAATTTAAACATAACCCATATCAATGCATAACAAATCATTTAAATACAATTAAAAATATTTCATAAAAATACTGACTTTGTCTTTGTCTAATTTTATTTTAAAATAAGAGTCCAATAGTTTCAGTTTTTTTTTTTTTTTTTACATTGGCTCCATTTCACGACTTGGATCAATAAATCTGTACACAAAATAATAACAAGCTTATACAAACTCGAAATTCGATATTGGCAGTGCTGTAGTAGAGGGTATACGGCGATATATCTTTCGATCATTACGAATAAGCACCGTATACCATTTGGTTATGGTTGTATACTATCTGTTGTAGTGGAAAATAAAAGATAAAAGAAACAGAATAAAAT